ATCTTCAATAGTATCTTTTTGTTCTTGAATTTACACCTCTAATTATGCCTTTCTTTCAACTAATCTAGTATGTTCATTTGCCAAATGAACTGAAAATTCAGCCCAATGAGCAGCTTGTCTTTCTTCAACATCCTAAATTGTTGATAATTAATAATACTGTCTTAGCAGCTTTTTCTTAGACTAATTATTATCTGATTTCGCTCAAAAGTTGGGCAATTTTAGTCAAAGCCTTTTAATTGACTCCATGAGTAGCAAGTTCTGTTAAAGCTGTAATGACTGGCTTAAATATTATTATAAAATAAAACTTATAAGAGAGCAGAATGTGATGTGTTGTCAGATAGCTTCTTATGGAGTGAATCGAATTTGGTTTTAATTTAAGCAAATGAAGCACCTAAACTTAAATGTTGAATGAGTTTGGCTGCATCATCAATGGCATCAATTACATCATCAATAGCTGCAATTTTAGCAACGAAGGTTTCGTGTTGTTGATTTCTTGTTGCTTCTTCTCTAGCATAGGTAGCTTCATTATTTGCGATATCTTATATAGTCACTCTGATATCTTCTTCAGAAACAGCAAGAGCTTCAATTGTGTCATCTCTTAATTATGTATTAGCTGCTATTTAATTCTAGTGATACAAAATCTCCTTCTCTAAGTCTTCAACTATCTGAAAATTATACAAACCCTTACTCTATTGTTAGTTGTTGTATCCAACTCGAAAGCATGATCATGATCATTTTAGTCTTAAACAATACCAGCACCTACAGCATTCAACAACATGTTAACTTCATTAGCTGGAGTTTAGGCTTAAAGATGTGCCTTTATTGCAGATAACACCACATGTCCGAATGGGTCAGCATTTATTTAAGCCAAAGATGTATGAGTGTCAATGAACTTAGCAGCTGTTATTGCGAATACTAATGCCAAGATGGCTAGTTTTTGCATCTATATTTTAATATTGATTTAAAAACGGATCGAATTAACTCATTAAATGTGAGTATTTCCTTCTTTATTTAAATAAAAACTTTCTTCATATTCTTTGCTAAATATTTTTTAAAAAATACCTTTTAAATTTTACACTTCCCTCACATCAACTTTCAATGTTGAAACTTAAGACATCCCAACAAACCAAAAATTAAGCACCTAAACCTGAAGTAAACTTCTACTTTATTCTTAGACTTCCAAAATTGTGAAGAAGGATGACCAAAAAAAGGCTTCTATTGATCTTGATGAAGAATAAGAAGAAACCAATCTCGTTGAAGTTGCAAAAAAACCTGAAAAAAAGTATTCTAAATCATTACATATCTAGATAACCCGCTATATAGTAAACAACAACAGATGGTTGGTAGCAATCAGATGATCCTAAAGATCTTCCAACTAATGGCATTGGGAAGAAACCAAATGCATCACTCAAAAAGCAAGATGAGCCTGTCATAGAAATTCGTAATGAAGAGTTCCCTGATCTTGCTGTTGCTGCTGATTTACCAAAACAAACTAAAAAATAGAAGAATTTACAAAGTTAACCTAAGCAAGACTAAAAACCTTAGCCTACCACCAATAATGCAATGTTATTCACTAATTCTTGTTCTAAACCCTAAACCTAAGCAACATCAAATATCTAAACCAAAAATACTCAATTAAATTCTAATTCAGGACCTCTAACATTCACTAATACTAAAAAATAAGAAAACACTGCTTTATTCTAATAACAATAATAAGAATAAATTAAAAAAACTTAATAAGAAACTTAAGTCTAGCCATAGCCACAAATATAAGAAACATAAAAATCTAATCCACCTCAAAGATAAATAAATATTACTAGAAATTCAAATACAGTATCTACATAACCAGTCCCTGAATAATAGAAATAATTGAAAGTTGAAGAATCAATTCCCACCTTCATTAATTCTAGAGTTAAAGTATTTATTCATTTTTATTTAAGGGAAATCCACCAGTAGTGTAATAATAATAATAACCATAAGAATAATAATAATAATAATAATAATAATAATAATAGCCATAAGAATAATAACCATAAAATGAAGATGAGGATAGCGATGGTTGGGAAACTGTAGAAAAGAAAAGAAAACCTAAAGTAGCAATGTAGAGAAATTAAAAAAAGAATTCATGAAAAATTATTATATTAATCCATCAAAAATTTTAAATTAATGATTCCATTATATGATATCCTAGCCTTCATTTACAAATTTGTATCAATCCCTTAGAAAAACCTGATCAACTTATATTATTTTAGTGATCATTCTGGCCAGTTAATGATAATTACTTATCTTTAATTAAACGAATTCAATTATTTTAAATTATTATCTAATATTAATAATTTAGAAATTAATTTTTTAAAAGAATCTTTAGAACGATAATATATTTTATAATTAAGCAATTTACTTAAGTATTAAAAATTATGATATAATTAATATATTATTTTATTCATAAAACAACCCTGTAATAAATAATTATTTTATTAAGAAAAGGTTTTGTTTAGTAATTATTATCAAAAACAACTTTTTACTTAGCATTTTTTTAGTTATTTTTATAATGCAAGTTTAATAAAATCAATTTTCTTTATTGCCAGTAACCTAGAAATAAATTGATTAGAGAAGTTTGACAGTTTTTGAGATGAATTTAGTCACTTGAAAAGTGCAATAGTTTTTAACTAAAATTTTATTGTTATTTTGGAATCATTTTTCTGTTTAAGAGACTTAATATTCTCCATTCTAGTTTTTGAATCTCTTTGTTAAATTTCGTTAAGTTTCGTAAATATAAATCTCTAATTTTCTCTTACTAAAAATGCCTTTTTCACTTTTTCTTCAAATTTGGTCATTTCCTTTCAAGCCACAGTAAATTAATATTTCATATCAAACTTAATTTATTTAACTATTTTTATTTTTTTCAAATTAAAAAAAACACAAAAATGTGATGGCTTTAACAATTTTTCTTAAATTTGAAAAAAAGTAATTTTTGGATAATTCATAAAACATGTTTCCACTTATATTGCTTACATATTTTTCCTATTTTTAGTTATTAACTAATAACAGCAAAATATTGTTACTATATAAGAAGCAAATACTGTTAGTGGTTTAGGAAGCCTTATATTTAGCAATAATTTTCAGGAATCTAATATCATCAAACAAATGTCATCAAATGATACTAAATTCTAAATCTAACCATGTTAGCAATTATTTTACTTTGACATTAAAAAATATTTAATTAAATTTGATTTTATGAAAAAAATGGAAGTCAAATTCCTTCAGAATTAATGAAAAATTAATTTAATAATTTTTAACACATTTAATTGCCCAACTTTATAATCTTCTTAAAAGTGAAAACATATTTTAATAGTTCAAAATATTAACCTTGAAATAGATAATTCAAAGGGTTCATAAGATTGGATCTTATCATTTGGAAGTATAGATAATGTATGTAACTTTAAAATGAATGTACTAATAACAATATTCGATTGAAAGCACAATTCAAATATTTTATATACTTCATTTTAAATATACATTGGTAATAAGAAATACTTCTTTTATAATAAAAAGTTAATTTTTCTTATAACTTTTGGATGCTAATTATTTTCATTTCAATAAACCTTTTTAATTTTATGATTATAATAAACAAAATCCCATTTTACAAAAATTTTTCTTGAAATAAGTTTCTCAAAAATTAATTAATAAATTTTTGGGATTTATTTAATTATTCTTTTTTAGTTACTATGTTCAAATAATTTTATCTTTTTATATAAATAGAGACAAGATAATGTATTATATAAATAAAATTGTTTGTATAATAAAGTCTAAAAATTTTCGATAATTAGAAGATTATAAATTTCTATCTTCCTTTGATATTTTTTGTGATAATTCAATAATCAAAAATAAATATTCATCCTTTCTTTGAGGATTACCCTGGCTTTTTAATCTAAATTGATTGTTAAGGAATATGAATATTAGGCATTTTTTCATTAATACTATCTGCCAATTTCATGTAATTAAACTCTTGCAAGGCTTAAAATATAAAAAATAGATACCATCTGTGATGGCTTCTTTTCCTTGGAGTAGCAATCCTTTAGGCAATCTTTTATCTGGACAAGCTCCTTTTAGTTATACAATACTTTCGTTTTCTTCTCTGAAAATACAAATATATTTGAAGACCTTAGAGTTTTTTGCATTTTCATCATGGTGGCCACAAATTTTAATCTTGATCTGAGTTTTTCTTTACCAGATTTGGAGAGCTATTTTTAAAGCGATTTATTTTTTTCAAAATTTTTAATTTTTTCAGATTAAGTGATTTATTTAAACTTTTCAATATCTTCTTGGTTAATTTTTTCATCTCCACTTTCTTGATCTTAATCCTCATGTCTTAGTAACATATATAGCATTTCAGTAACTAAGATTGAAAGTAAAAAACTTACCTTTTTCTGTAACAAAGGGTATTGACCAGGAGAATACATCCATAAAGTTTGGTAATAAATATGGATGAGGAGTGTCTTTAAATTACTAAATGTTGAGGGTGTTATTTTCAAATTTGATTACAGCTCCTTTGTTTTTATAAACATCACAATAATTAGGTGCTGAGAAGATTGTAATAACGACTGGAAAATCTGAACTTCCTTTCCATCTGTGCATTTTATATCCATCTAATTATGCTTCATGAGCTCTGATGACAGAAATTAGGTTATTCCTTTATAGAAATCTATGAACTGCATCAACTCCAAAAAACCAGGAGCAACCTCTGACTTCATTTCCTCTCCATCCATTTTCCAATGATCCTTGATCATTATCAACTGGATCACTCCATAAAATATCACAAAATAATCCACTTCTAGGTGGTTCATGGTATCTATCAATTTTTTTGATGTCTTCAAGCTAAAATCGGAAATACAGAACCTTGTTACCGTTTTTAAATCTGGAGAGATACCTCCATGAATAGCTAGAAACTTGTTGTTAACTACACAGGCAAGGGGAAAGAGATCAAAGGAGTCCATCAGTAAATCGTACGTTTCTTGGTCATACTTATAGAGGCCTTGATGAGAGGGTTTTTTTTTGTATACATTCGTCCTTAAAATTGAAAAAGCTTGTAAGCTGTCTACATTCATGGTTTCCTCTTAAGAAAAAAACAGTATTTGGAAAGTTGATTTTAATTGCATAAACTAGGACAATCACTTCGATGGAAAATGAACCTCTGTCAACAAAATCACCCAGAAATAGATATTTTGTAGATTCTATGTTGCCTCCCACATCAAACATTTTCACTAAATCATAATATTGGCCATGAATATCCCCAACAACTGTTAAAGGATCATGCAAATAAATGAGATTTCCCTCATTTTCTGTTGTTTTATATAAAAGTTACTAAATATTTTATTGCAGTCTGAAACTAATTTGATAAGATCTTCTTTTGCGATTCTTCCCTCTTTAGATAAATGATCTAATAATAATCTCCAGTCAGGTTTATCTAATATTATTATGTTAGATACTTTTTAGCTTGTCTGGAAATATGAGTTAATGTGAGAGAGGACGATGAGGAGGTGGCTTTAATGTTTTCACAACTCTATCATGTGATGGATCTCTTAATAATTCCATAATAATAATAAAATAATTAATCACACTCATTGTCAATAAATTATATACAACAAAAGTGATCATAATTTAAAGTTTTTTTGGCTTCTTACAGTAGGTAATGTACTTTATTCTGATAACATTTTTCTTTCTCTAGGCCTATTGGATCTTGAACCTATAGAGGATTTCAAATCTCTAAAATGATTATATTAATACCTTGAATTGGCTTTAAGAGTTTTTAATTTTTCATAATTTATTCCAATTTCATTTTATTAATCTTTGCCTACAACATTATTTTTATATAAGGATAAGTTAAATTAATCAACAGGACTTTTAACTCCTTTTAATGTGTTTTCTTAAGAGCTCTTTGATGTTTATTAATTAATAATTTTTGGTAATTCTTCAGGTTCTTCAAAAAAGGCTTGTGCCAATTATTCAAATATTTTAGTAGAGTTTATTCTATTTATTCAATAATTAATATTACTTTATAACTCCTAATTAATTGTTTGATTACTGAGTAAGTCTTTTGAATCTATCATAATTGAATCCTTTGCCTTTATCAATCTCTTTTATTGGCTTATCTTCTGCATGAACTTAGATATTATTGTTAATTGTTGAATTCATTTATTGAGTAAGACTAAGATATTCATTTCTTGCCATTCTTAGTGCTGGATTATTCATATTTTGTAAATCAACTGTATTTGGTCTGGTGCCCTCTTTGATTCTACCTTCATGAATGACTACAATTCCTGGTTATAAATTCATATTCTCTACAACTAAAGGAGCTATTTGATTGAACTTGAATGTATCTTTTTCCTTATCCTTCTCATCATCAGTTTTCTTATTATTCCAAGAAACTTTATTATATTTCTTTTTTGGATTTATTTTTGTAGATTGATCTTCTTCAAATTTAGATCTTAAAAAATATTGAATTGTACGCCAAAGTTGATGCTGGAGGAGGTAATTTTGTTCCTTTTGCAGTGTTAACAGATATCAATTTTCCATCATAATCATAAGTATATTACTTGGATTTCTTATCTTTGGCCATCAATTCATATTTTAATTATTCTTCTTTTTCTTCTTTAAGTTTTCTTCTTTTTTCTGCCTCATTTAATTCTAATTTCTCTTTTGTTTATCTTTCCTTTTCATTTCTCAATTACTCTTCTGTTATACTAATATCTAATGGATCAACTAAATCTATAGGCATAGGATCTAACTATTTCTTTTCTTTAATTGGTTATTAATCCTAAAATTTATTAATTGAATTACAAACACTTTAGATCTTGCAAATGTCATTGGACTTGATGTCTAACAAGTATTAGGCCTATTTTCTGGTTTGATTTCCATGTTAATTTTAGATGTCAACCATTATTCCTGTTAAATGTGTAACTTAAATTAATTAAATTGTGTACAGGTTCGAAGTCTTCGCCTAACCCACCACTTTGAATGTCTCTTATGGGATTTTCAGGTTTATAGAATGCTTGAGCCAAAGGCATTACTAAAAGATTTAATGAATTGGATGCAGAAACAGTAGGTAACTTTCTTAAGATTTCATTTTCTTATGCTTTGTCAATAACTTTTTTTATCAAGCGATTAAACATTTCTTTAATATGATACTCACCTTCAATTTAGAAGACTTGGGTTGATTAAGGATCCAAAGCTGTATAATACTCATAACAATTCATTTTTGCCATGTCTATTTATTCTAATTCTACATCTGATTATGTGTTTGATTATTCAGCAATACTAGAAAGATCGACTTAAGAAGGTTTGTAATTATTTTATTTCATATATATAAATTAATAATTAACGATTAATGCTTAAATAACAACCGTAATCAGCAAAGAGTGGAAATGCTATCAAACAAAAAAAAGAAACTCTAGAAAGATTTGCTTACTGCAATAGTTAATAATTATTCCAAAATAATATATTTGATCTGAGATAGTTTATAAAATAGAATTATGAAAAATATTGTGAGTTATTGGATAGAGTTGAAAATGCTAAACTTATGGTTAAATAAAAAAAAGAGAATTTAGATTAATTGAAAAGTAAATCTGAAAACAAAACAAATAAGCCAAGAGCTAATTTATGTGTATTAGATGAGTTGTCATAATTAAAAAGGTAAATAGAAATTAAACAGTCTACAAATAATGAATTGAAATCTTAATTAGAATAAATGAATTAATGGACTAAAAAATAAGACTTCTTTTAAGAATATTAAGAAATTTGTAAATAAGTTGACGATTTAAGAATATAAAATGATTAATTATTAAAAGCATGAATAATGTGCCCGTTTTTCATTATATTAAAAATTAAAATTATGAGAGCTCTTACCATAATTTGCTTAGTGGCTGCCGTATTTGCTTTAGATACAAATAAATTTGCTGTCCTTCTATAGGCAGGAACAAGAGGAAATGATGCTGTTGAATCAGTTTACAACCTTTTGCGAGATCTTAAAACAGAGAATGTTAATGTCTAAGCTGCTGCTGATAAAAAGAATAACACAGATGAAGGTATCTTAATACTCTTATATTCTAATAGAAATCTTCTCTTAAGTTATTGGTGACCTGACAAATGTTGCTTCACTTAACAAATAATAATGGGAAGCTTTAGGAGCTGTCAGAACAGATGTTGAAGCCTAAATTAGAGTATACTTTATACATATTCTTAGGATGGATATTCATGGTTAACATGGGCTGAATCAAGACTTGCTGAAATCGAAAGAAGAAATGCTCAACTTCAAGATTAAAGATGTTGGGCCAATGGACTTTTTGTTAGATCTCTTGCTGATCATGCTGATGCTATTAGTGTTGTTTAACTTTTGGAATAAGATGTTGCAGGTTTTCTCACTAATAATGCTGGAGTCGAACTTGTTGAAAAAGCTTAAACAATTGCTGATAAATTATCTGCATACAGTCACCTTTTCTAATAAGATGCACTTTAAAAATTCCAATCACTTGCTGAAGTGAAAAGAGAAGGAACTACAGGAGAATAAGTTCTTGCTATCTTATAAGATTTATAAGGTGAATTGGAATCCACTTTAGCAACACTCTAAGAATAAGAAATCCATGCTGCTTTTGCATTAGCTAAATATGTTTCAGATACCAATGCTGAAGTCGCCTGGTTAAATTCTGAACATGAAAGAAGAACTTCTCTTGTTGAAAAATTAGAAACTGTATCAGTAACATCTATTTCTCAAGTAACTCCCTGCCGTCCTTGCTCAATAAGCTAAAGCCCTCAAATTGTGGAAAGATTCTTTGAATGCAGTTGCCGGAGCTACTGCTGATTTGGAAGAAAAGAGAGAATTCTATGCTTCTGAAACTGCTAGAAGATAAGGTATTATTCTAATTCATTTCAAGAGGAAAACGCTATCATCGATGTTGTCATTTAACTCTTCAAAGATTAAGTCAGATCATTAGCCTCATAAACTTCCCTTGGAAGAAAGTGATCTGTTCACATTAATAATAATAATATAAACAAAGCTATTGTAATTCCTCTTTTTCAATTAATTTTATTATATTTTGCATGGCTAGTATTTTCTTTCTTATTTTTTCAACATATAGTTAAAATAATCAAAAATCCTAAAACTTTATCAAAAAAGTAATACAATAATATATATTAATTACAATGATAATAGATCAAATAATTAAAAAAGAGTTTAATTTTAATAATATTCTTAAATCTATATGAATATATTTATTTATATCATGCTACGCAATTTTTTTAATTTTATTTACATTATATCTCTAAAAATGTAATCTTTTTGTTAATATTAAATTACTTTTCATTTTACAATTTAATAAACTTAAATATCTTTATCTTAATAATCTTACAAAAAAAATAAATGATTTCATTTAATTTTACTGGAAATTCAGCTACAAAAGGATTTACAATGATTAATTAATAATTATGCAACTAATTAGAATTATTATTTCATTTATATAATCAGTTAGACTATAATTTCATACATCCTCCGATTATTAGTCTGTAGTTTGGCTTAAATTTTAATTAAATGCTATAATACGCTTAAAGTTTCTTAATTTTTTTTGATTTTATTCTTGAACTTCAAAATTACTGATTTAACATAATTGTTCAAATTAAAAGTTAGACAATTAATTTCGAATTTCTAATCGAGCCCATATTTATATTAATACAGACAAAGTTATACTATTTTTAGATCATAAATTTCTAAATAAGAACATTATTGATTTGAGTGAAATGATTTACATATTTATTTACAATTTATCTTAGTTTTTTGTTTTTCAAAAAAAATATTTAGAATAATAGCATTTAAGCTAAAATATTTAAGTTGCAATTTAACTTTTGAGAAAAATTAAGGTAGAAAGTTATAAAAAGGGAATATGTTTGAAAGTAAGCTTCTTATTTCTTTGCATTGTTATTCTAATAAGAAAGAAAAGTAAAATTTCCAAATTAATGCCTTAATTAATTAATAAGTGATATCTCATTTCCTTATCTTTTAATTAATTAAAATTAAACTTGGAACTTATTCTCATAATATTCGATGTTTAAGTTGAACAGTAATGAGCATATATAAGAAGAAATAATATCAAAGATAAGTCATCTATAATTAAGCGAAAGTACTTAATATAAAAGTATTTTAGCTGATGATGACAATTCTAAATACGGTAGCCCCGCTTTAGATTCGAGACTCTTGGAAGTGATTAGAGAGCTCCCCCATCATTTAAAATAAAAATTATACAGTTTAATTCCTAAAACAAATTATCAGTTGATTAAACAAAATGATGATAGCATTTATTATGGAATATTGGAAAATTAATAAAAATAAGGGGAAGGAATTTAAATATGGCCAAAAATAGGTAATTTATTAGAAGGGTAATGAATATATCAAAAATATTTAGATTATGGGAAAATGATTAATTAGAGGGCTATTGCAGAATGAATTATGCGAATGGAGATATGTATTAAATATTTATAAAATTAGTTTTGAATGTTAATTTAAATAAGGGAAAACTAATGGTTTCGGAATCTTTAAATCTTAAAAAAAATTAGTGAAAGGTAAGATAATGAAATATGTTATAGGACTTTGGATTGATAATACAATATAAGGAGAAGGATAGGAAATTAAAAGTGATGGAACAAAATATTTTGGTTAATTCTAAAATGGAAAAAAGGAGGGGAGAGGGATTCTAATATTGAAGGATGAATGCAAGTCTATATATATGTATATATTTTTAGATACGAAGGTTAATTCAAAAACAATACATTTCATGGTTAAGGAACCTTTTAATGGAATGATGGCTCTGTTTATACAGGAACTTTTATAAATGGATAAATTTTAGGATTTGGTTAGTATATGAATAGTAACAGAATTCAAATGATCGGTCATGTAATATAGAGATATAATTCAAGTTTACAGAATTAAAATAGCCAAGAGTAGACTAAAAGGAAATAAATTAGCATCTACAAACTATTATTTTTGTTAATTAGTAAAACTAAACTTTGATGATTGAAAAAATTCGTACTCTCTGAATTGGATTTTTGATAGTCATATTAATATATATCTTTATTTATTTGTTTATTAGTACTCTAATTGATTATTATAGTCAATTAATTAGATAAAATTCATCAATTCATTTCATTTAATAAAAAGAACTTCACAAAAACTAATTCGTTCAAGTTGAACATCTTAAGTAGGATTAAAAATGAAGTATTTTAAATATATATATTTAGAGTTCTTTAATGTTTATGACTTAGTGTTTGAATCTAAAAATAGATTTAATAATTTGAAGAATATTTTAAAATATAAAAACTCTTGATAAAGCCATAATCTATCGATCTAATCGTTATCAGCCTTTAAGACGACAATTGTAATGTAAAAAAGGTTAATCATACTCATTTTATTCAGTCATTTCGAAAAAAACACTTTTAATATATATTTCAAAAATTATGAATATTTTTTTAATTTTATAGATTTCAGTTTTATATATAAAAATATTTAATCGAATACTCATCATTTCTTTGCTATGGGTTAAAATTATTAATTATTTAAAAATTGCTAATTTTATACTTGGGGTTGCATCGGTTAAAATTAATTATTGAATAATTAATTTTATCCTTATTATAATTATTAACCCTAGAGTTATAGTTATCCTTATTAAAATTACTATCCTTATATTTATTAATGTTGTTATCCTTATTATTATACTTATTAGAATTATTATAAGTACCCTTAATTAATGGGTATTTAATTGAATTTCTAAAACTTATCTTAATTTTCAATAGGCCTGATTTCATAAGTAGTTTAGAAAACTTAATTTCTTTAATTTTCAACCTTTTCTTGTTAACTAGGAACGAAATTGGTGTTATTTTGTGGAGTTGATTATAAAAAATTTTTAATAGGAAAAGGTGAGAATTTTGGCAATAATTCTTTTTAAACATAATCTATATTAGGTCTCTTATCAGGAAATGGATCAATCATTTATTTAATTAAAGTTTTTAATTCCTATTTAATTTATAATTAATTAATTTTAAGATGAAATTATTATTAATTTTTACAATAATTAAGGATTTATTATTATAATTCCCCTTTTGTTTTACCTTAAAATAAAATAATGATGAATACCATCAAATAAAGGTTCTCCTTAAAATAATTCAAAGAATAAACATCCCAAAGACCATATATCAACAGAAGCCTAATAATTGTCTGATCCATTGATGATCTCAGGAGCTTAATAAAGAGGTGATCCTATCATTTTTGTAAGTCGTACATTTTCTTCTTTTTTTTTAATTAAACCAAAATCAATTAATTTGAATGTTGTACCTACTTAAATAAAATTTTCAGGTTTAATATCTCTATGAATCAATTATTATTTATGAAGAAATGCAATAGATTAAGAAATCTAATATTAAATGTTTAATTATTACTTCTTAACAAATTTTAATTTTTTATTCTATTTATAATTTATTCTTTAAAACAGAAAATAAATCTTTTCCTCCAAGTTCCATAATTAACACTTATTAACCTTATGATATAAATCTTTCATAAACTTTAATTAAATTGCTTTTTATAAATTAATTTTATTCTTGATTTTTTTAATAATCAATTAAAAAATCAATAAATTATATTTCATGATCTTTCATTTTTTATTAAATTTTAAAAGCAATATCTTTATTATAAAATTTTTCATTTTTTGGTGTTGCTTAATACACACCTCCTTCTCCTCCATCTCCTAAAAGTTTTGTTAATATAAATTAACGCTTAGGAAACTCTTATGTAGGAGCATCAATAAGTGAATTAACATTTTACTGATAATTAATGTATTAAACCTAAGGTATCTATTATTATGTTTAATTTTTTTAATCTATTTAATTTTATTATATATTTGGTATCTGTATTATCTATTGGCATTCAGTATCATTATTTTTTGGATAGGTTTAAATGTCTTTAACTTAAAAATCATGATTGTTTTCACTAATATTTTCTTATTCAATTGGTCCTTGAATAATTAAAAAAATAAACTTTATATCAATTTTTCTCCTTGAAATATTTCTTAGATTAAATTTTCCAAAGATTTAATCTCAATTTAACTAATTTCATGGTTTTTCTTGAATCCAAAAATACATAATTTAAATCTATTTTTCACTTTTACAAAATGGGATGATTTGATTTCTCTACCAAAATACTTATTTTCATGTAAGAATTTAATTGTATCAATTATCTATAAATATAAAATTTTAAATACTTAAAGAAAAATGTCAAATCTTTGAGCACAAGATAAATTTTAGTTTTATTTTAAATAATTTTACAAATTAATCTCTCCTAATTCCATCATTATCTATGTCTTATTATTTTATTCATTTTTCTATTGGATTTATATTATTTAACTATCTTAGTGCTATTTCTACAATAGCCAATCAATAAATTCTTTTTCATATTCATTAATTTTTTCATATATTTTAATGGCAACATTCTCTTGGTTTTATGAATTATATATTGTTGCTTGATAAACTTTTGCATCTTTATCTTCATTAAGAACTGATCCAAGTTTAAAATCTCTAGGATAAGTACAATTACTAGGAAAATGGACTATATTATTTTCCTCTATCATTTTTCAATTTAATTAATATTATATTAATAGAATTATATATTTATAAATACAATTGACTTTGTTTTTCATCAATATAATATAATCAGTATTAATAAAAAATAGAACTTAAAAATGGAGGCTTATTAGTCAATAGTTGAATTTGTGTTATTTGTATTGTTATTAGAATTTTGAATTGGTTATTAACAAATCACACATTTTTAAAGTGTTTAATCCCAAGTATATGTATTTTTACTGAATTAATAACAATTAGATTGATCAAATTGTGATACATTTATTGAAATACAAGTATTATTGTTCATGTTACAATAATTATATGTAGACTTATCAAATGATAGAAATGGTTCACATTTTTATTTATTATTGAACCATGTAGTACAAGTATGATTTTCACAATATTGTGTAGTTGTATTTGTAGAATTTTATTAATTTGATACTTTAGTGACCCAATTACAAAAAGTATTTGAATTACAAATAGATTCAAATGAATTAGCCAAATTACATGATGTAAAATCGATACATTTAGTGGATTACCAAATACATTATCCTGTTATGCTACCTTATTTACATATTGATTCAGATTAATATGATGAGCAATTTGATTTTGGAACACATATTTTATTAACTTCATCATAAATACAGGTATTGATATTTGATTGACAATCAAATTATGATTTAGGTTCAAATATATCTGTACATAATTTGATTCTACAAATGTTTTTGTCCCATATACATATTCCATCAGAGGCAACAGCAGTTATACAAACATTTTAATCTTAATATTAAGAACATTTTGCAATAGATATACATCCAATAGAATTATATGTACATTAGATTAATTATTTAGAACATTCTTCATGATTATTTCCTTTCAAATCTTAACAAGATTAATCTCTACATAAACCAGATTCCCATACACAAACTCCAGTTGAATTAATTTAATTATCTTCTGTATATTATATTCCTTTGCTATTTTATTTACATTATCCAATTAATTAATATTATGAACATTTTTCATTTAAAGCAATACAAGAATCAATTGTATTTGAAGTACAATTTTTATTTGCTAATTAACATTCTTCATGAGTTGTAAATTTAGCTTGAGTGCAATTTTTAAACAATTAACAAGACTTAATATTTTTACTATCTATAGTAAGAATACAAATACCATCAATTCCTGTATAACAACCAGTAATTTTATTTAATGAGCATTTTTGAATTGCAATACAATTTTCTCCATTTGTTGTACATAAAGGTGATATTAATTTACATTCTTAATCTGTTTTCCATTTTATAGATGTACAATCATTATATTAATAACATTATCCACTATTATTATTAATAATCCATAAACAAGGACCATCAGTACCAACAATACAAGTTTCTTAATTTAATTTTGTAGAACAAGAGTTTTATATTGCACATTTACCTTATAAACCTATAGTACAATTTGGATCTTAACCATAACATTAAGCATGAGTAGTACCAAATAGATCTATACATGATTTATCTCTACATATATTATTATCCCAAACACATAGTATATTATTAATTGTTTTCATACAACTTTCTTTAACTGTATATGATTTACATAATTCTTGTAATTCTTAACAACCTCCATCTGCTTTTGTTGTACAATTAGGATAATAATTATTACAAGATTCATTAGTAATCAAATTTGAAGGAGCATTAGAACATTTTCTGGTTTAACATTAAAGTGATTTTTCAACCCATGTACATAAGCTTTTTGATGCATCAATTACACAACTAATTTAATTAGTGTAATAATAACATTATTCTTATATTGCAGTACATCTAAATCCATTACTTGTACACTTATAATTTTCATAACATTCCTAATGATTCTTTAATTCTATATCTTCACATTATAATTAGAAACATTTCTAATTATTAACAAATCCACAATTTTTTAAGTAAGCATTACATTATGATTCAGATATTAAATCTTAAGGAGCATTTGAACAAGTCTTATCTTAACATTTAGAATCTTACCATGTACAATTCTCTGTTTTACATTAAGATTCAATCATTAAAGAACATTATTCAGGAATCTTGATACATCCATCATTTGTTGAATTAATTGTACATCCTTTTAAATATTTTTAACAATCATCATGAGTACTTAAATTTATTGGTGCTGTATCACATGATTTAATATTGCAGATATTATTTTTCCATCCACAAAATTATCCATTTATATCTATTATGCAATTCTTTTCTGATTTATAAGAAGAACATTATTATAATTCCATACAACCATTTCCATTTTCATTAATAGTACATATATTTTATTTATCATTAATTATTTAATCCATACAATTAATATGATTGTATTAATTCAATTCTATTACATTGCATGATTTTAAATAACAAGTTTTATTTTTCCAATAACACTCTTTATTC